AGACTCTGAATTTAAGGTCTGTAGCTGATTTAGGCTTGAAATGGCAAAAGTCGAATTTTTTAGGATTTGGACCGAAAGTGGACTTTTTGATATCGGGGTCGAAATGCAATTCTGAGAGTAGAAACAACTCCGTTATGTTATTTGGGACTTGCCTGCAAACTTTGACATCATTCCGTGTTGATTTTGATAGCTTTTGGCTCGAGTTTTAGGAGTTGGAAGATTTGAAAGTTCATAAGTTCGATTCATGGTGTGATTCGTAGTTTCGACGTTATTTGATGTGATTTGAGACCTCAAGCGAGTCCGTATTAGGTTATGGAACATGTTTGTGTGTTTAGACGGAGTCCCGGGGGACTCAGGTGTGTTTCGGATGGGCTACGGGCCAATTTCTTCTATTTTTGGACTGTTGGTTTTTGCCATCTAGTTTCCTTAATCGCGTTCGCATTCACGTAGTGCAATTTAGGGAGAATGAATTATTGTTCTTCGCGTTCGCGTGATTTCATTCGCCATCGCGAAAGTCTGCTTTCCCCTTCTTCGTGTTCGCATCCCCTCCATTGCGTTCGCATAGTAGAAACCTGGCCTTGAGCACTGGTACTCGTTACTCTTCGCGTTCACATGACCTTGTTCGCGATCGCCGAAGTCTGTCTACTCCTTCTACGTGATCACATCTTCTGCTTCGCGATCACGAAGTGTGGCTTTGGGCAGCAGATAATTCCTTCACTACGCGATCGCATAAGCCCTTCCGCGATCACGTAGCACATTTTGGACAGTAGCCATTTTCCATCTACACGATCGCATCATTTCTTCCGCGATCGCGATGTACAAATACCTGGGCAGGCAGAATATATTCTTAAATCGATGGTTAGACCATTTTCATCAAATTGTGAGTTGTAGAGCTCGATTTTGAGCGATTCTTTGTGGGTTTTTCAAGCAAATCGACTGGGTAAGTATTTTTCACCTAGAATTTAATATATTTCATGCTTTTATCTTTGTTTTTATCATTTAATTTGTGTTTTTAGTTGAGAAAAATGTTGGTTTTTGAAGAAAATTTTCAAAATGAAAAACCATGATTTGAGGGACGAAATTGTATCGAAATTTGATGATTTTAGTATGGTTAGACTCGTGAGTGAATGAGTGTTCGTATTTTGTGACTTTTACCCGATTCTGAGATGTTAGCCTGGGTCGACTTTTTAGGGCGGATTTTGAATTTTTTGTTAAAATATTGATTTCATTAATTAGATAAGTCTATTATGGTTGTATTCATGATATGCAATTGTGTTTGGTTAGATTTGAACCATTCGGAGTCGGATAATTGAGAAAAGGGCATTCTTACAGACTGATTGAGCTTGGTTCGAGGTAAGTATCTTGCCTGACCTTGTGTGGAGAATTTTTTCCTTAGGATTTGAGTCTTCTATGTTGATTGTAATCCATGTATGCGAGGTGACGAGTGCGTGCTCGGACTTATTTGGGAAAAGTTGGCCTTTTAGGATTCTTAGGTCCTTATATTCATCGAGTATGGAGTTGTTCTTGATATGATTAAGTTCTTATTTACTAGTTTCATCTCTACATGCTTTAATTAGAATTAATTACTTTAAGATTCACTTTTATTTGACTTAACTGAAGACTTTACCTCTTCTATTGTCATGCTATATTTTCATATCTGCTTATCTTTATTTGGAATTATTATTATCTCATCCTATAATTGTTCAGTCTTAATTGAGGTTATGATTATCCTTATGCTGCTTATTCTTAATTGAATTGTTGAATATCATTCGTAATTTCTCAACCTTAAAAGAAGTTTAGATATCCTATATCTTAGTCGACTTGTTTTATTTGGAATTATCTGACTCGTGTTAGCTTCCCTGTTGTTGAAATGTATATTGAGGGATCGTTGCTACATATTAGTTTTTCCCTTGTTGAGTTGTTCTCTTTACGCCTAGCATTCTTTAATGTGGTTATTCCTTGTTAATTGGTTCTACCGTTTCTTTGTGATTTAAAGTTCTTGAGTTGATTTGCTTGTCGTACTTTGTATTATTGTCGTTGTTGTTATTGTACTTGTGGTGGTGATGCGCGAGGTTTCTACCGTGCGGTTGTGGTTATTGTGATGCACGAGGTTTCTGTCGTGCGGTTATTGTTATGGGGTTGCACGAGGTTTCTATCGTGCTATTGTTACTATTGATATTTGCACATGCGGTGTGACAAGGCGGGAAATATGTTAGGACTTTTTTTTTTTTTTTACTATTGTTACTATTAATATTTCCTTGTGCTGTATGTTCTCTTTTTTTTCCTTATGCTTATTTGCTGGTATGGACTATGTTAGGAAATTTGCGCAAGCATACACGTAGTTAAGCACTCTTATCGGATATGAGGTGTTCTTTATATTGTTGAGCATATATGCTCACCCTTGTTTACTTGCCTTCTATGTGAGAATGGTTCTATTGGCACGTGAGTCGTCTGTGCGGTTATGAGGTGTTATGAGGGCACAGGATGCCAAGTGTTAGGGTTCTGGTATTGAAACCCGTGAGTTGTGACTTGTCCGAGGCTCGGTACCTCGTAGAGTTTGTTGACTAAAACCTGATGTAAAAGCGATTGTAGTTGCTGAGTTATTACTTGTCTTTGATGTATTTGTGATTCCGAATTTAGGTTGTGTTCCATTCACTCTTCTATGTCATTTTTATGGTATTCTGCTGATACTTGTTGTTTTCTTTCTTATTGCAATTACTGTATTGTGAGCCATATTGTATAGTCCTTATGTAGATATCATATTTTTGTTGTTCCTATACTTATACGTGTTCAGTTTATTAGACCAGTAGGTGTCTTGACTGTTCCTCGTCACTACTCCACCGAGGTTAGTCTTGATACTTATTGGGTACCGTTGTGGTGTGCTCATTCTAGACTTCTGCACATTTATTGCAGATCCATGTATTTGTTCGATAGTAGTTGTGCGGGTCATTATTGTGGAGACTCAAGGTAAATCTGTTGTTGCGTTCGCAGGCTTCGGAGTCACCTTCAAGTTTTTGTTTTGCACTGTTTATTCTTATTTCTGGACAGTTGTATTTAGAAGTTTTCTAGCAAACACTCTGTAGAGCTTATGACTTGTACTACCGGTTTTGAGAATTATAAATTTTAAGAGATTTCTATTTCAAATTATTGGATATTATTTAGATAATATTGTTGTTTCAATTAGTGTTAAGTTTATCTAATCCCTAAGACTAAGTACCATCACGATACCCAAACGGAGGAGAATTTGGGTCATGACAACCGAAGACTGTCAATACCAGGTAGTTGGTCTTGTTAGAACTTAGAATACTAATTCTCAAATAAAATTTGGGATTATCTCTTATTTTACTATGAATATTAGTTAATATCAATATAAATTTTATACCAAACTTTAATATTTGTTCGAATTATAATTCTTAAATAACTAATCCTAGAATAATTATGTTTGGAATCAAACCACTCCGAAGAGATGAAAGAGTAAATGATTTTGTCATTGCGGCTTTGCTACCACTTCTTTGAGACAAGGAGGGGTGTAGAAAGAAAATTGATAATCCGAATCAAATCGGAAAAAAAAATCTGATATGGTTTGGTTCGATTTAGTTTGGTATTGGAAAAAAAATCCGACTATAATTGGTTTGGTTTTAATTGAAAAAATTTAAATTGAAATCAAACCAACGCAACATTACATTTATACAATTTTAAAAATATTTTATACATTTAAATATTTATTGTAATGTAATTTATATATATTTCTTAAAATATTTCATAGTTTTATCTTTTAATGTAATATTTCGAGCTTGGACTTAACATTCTTGAATGATCCAATAAGTTTTATAGCCCATAAATGTAGTAACTCAAATAAAGTTCAAATCATATTAATGCTAACAAAATAAATTCAATTCAACACTAGAAATGACAATAGTGTTGGATATCTATTTTTAGTTTTGCATTGGTTTATAATAAAAATGCATAACTTACTTTTTTTTTCTTTAGCGCTTAGTCATGTAATTAATAGTACTCGTTAGATGTACTTATTTTAGCATAACTTATATAGTATGTTTAGATCATGTTCATTTTTATTATGGCTTATAAATTAGCAATATTTATTTTAAGCGATTTTATTATCTTTGTTATTGAATATTTATTACAATGCTATGACTCATCTCATATTATTGTGTTATTTTATTGAAAAATACATTATATAGTTATATCCTACTAGAACTAAAGAAATATTTGGAGCACAAGTTACATACTTTGTGCTATGAAGACTTTAACGGAAAAACTCAAAAATACAAAAAAATCAAAAAATCCGAGAAAAATCGATAAAAACCCGACTTTATTGGTTTGATTTAGTTTATACATTTTAAAATCCGACCCTATTGGTTTGATTTGGTAATTAAAAAATTCGAACCAACTCGACCTATGTACACCCCTATAGACAAGATTTCAGGTACTTCTGCTTAACAATTTTTTACCCCACATGGTTAAAATCGAAATTAAAAAAATAAAGAATTTAAGTTTTATGCATTAATATTAATTTATAACCTGAAAAAATTTAAATCCCCTGTTACACAGGTTAAAGTACACACATAATATTAAAAAAAAATATAGTCCACTTAAACAATCTTTAACTTCTTGATTTTAGAAGCAATACCTTCTCCATCTTTTGAATAAGATAGTATCATTTGTCTAAATTCTCCTAGTGAAACTCCGAGGCAGACCCAGGATTCGGCGGTCACGGAGGTATCATGACATTCAATATAAATTTATCACTGATCATAAAGATTAATACGGTGCCTATGCTTATCTGACTATTTTCTGAAAATATTTGCAAGTATATATGTATTTTTTGCCGAAGTTTCCGTGTGCCCGCGATCCTTCAGACTCATTATGTGCGTCGGCCTTTGTCCCGCTCAAAGACCACCCCACCCTCCCCAGGCCCTTACACATGGTGGGCGGTGATTGTACTCTGAAAATTCTCTATAAATAGCAAAGCAGTCCTTGCAGCCAAGTGTACACTACTTCACAATTCCTTACCAAAACTTGCTCATAAAAAGCAAGAAAAAATATCAAACACTTGTCATAAACCAAAACCAAAAAACACCCAAGAAACCAATCTTCATTTTGTTATCCACAAAGTTTACTATGGTTGTCTTGTCAATACCAGCAGTTGAACAATATTCCATAGTCAAGAATTGTAAACCATTCTCTTCATTTTTCCCTAGTAATATTCCAATAATAGACCTCTCAAAACCAGATAGCAAGAATCTTCTTGTTAAAGCATGTGAAGAATTTGGATTCTTTAAAGTTGTAAACCATGGTGTTCCTATGGAATTTATTAGTAAACTTGAATTAGAAGCCATTAAATTCTTCTCATCTCCTCTTAATCAGAAAGAAAAAGCAGGTCCTGCTGATCCTTTTGGCTATGGCAATAGAAAGATTGGAACCAATGGTGATATTGGTTGGGTTGAATACATTCTCTTGTCAACCAATTCTGAGTTCAATTACCAAAAATTTGCATCCATTTTGGGTTTAGACCCAGAAAATATTCGGTAAGACATTGGAAAAAGTTACATTTTTTTTTCTGCTTTAGACATCTCGAAATTTACTAGTCCCGACTAATTTAAATTCCTTATTGAGGTAAATAAGGAGCACACTAGTTCGGCTAATTTAAATTCGTGCTGAGTAAGGTGAATAAGGTGTAAGTTGCTCCTTATTAGAGGATTTTCAGAGTCTGAACTCCGAAACTTTTAATTAAAGACGGAGGGATTCCAATTATCTCACCACGTTTTTCGACAATTTTGTTGTTTTTCCTGGCTTTAGGTATCTAGAAATGTACTGATCCGACTAATCAAAAGTTGCATAGAGTAGGGTCCACTATGGATTAAGCCTCATTGACTGGAATTTTTTTATTGAGGGTTCAAACTCGAAAATTCTAGTTAGGTTGAAAAATTACAACCAATCTCACCACATTCCTCGATAAAATAAGATACTATGGTCTATGTCAATTGCTATGCTGCTTAAATTGATTATTTATTTATTTATTTATTTTATAATTGCAGTGCTGCTGTTAATGATTATGTATCAGCAATGAAGAAAATGGCTTGTGAGATTCTTGAAATGTTAGCAGAAGGATTGAAGATTTATCCAAAGAATGTATTTAGTAAACTTCTAATGGATGAACAGAGTGACTCTGTTTTTAGGATCAATCACTACCCTCCTTGTCCTGAAGTTCAAGAATTCAATAGCAGAAATTTGATTGGATTTGGTGCACACACTGACCCACAAATCATTTCTTTATTAAGATCAAATAACACTTCTGGACTTCAAATTTCACTTGAAGATGGACATTGGATTTCTGTACCACCTGATCAAAATTCTTTCTTCATCAATGTTGGTGATTCATTGCAGGTATAGCCCTCTATTTCTTGGTGACATCTATTTTTTGTCTTTTCGCTCGTTGTTCGGTATCTGTATTGGAACCCGACTAAATCTGAATTCGCGCTGGGAATGTCCATTGGGGATAAAGTGTTCCTCAACAAAAGCAACTCTATACTCAGGATTCAAACCCGAGAACTTTATTTCTTGGTGACATCTGTTTTTTGGTTTCTCACCCGGTGTTCGGTATCCGCATTGAAACCCGACTAAATTTGAATTCGCGCCCAAAAGCCCCATTGGGGGTAAATACTCCTTAACAAAAGCGACTCCATACTTGGAATTTAAACCCGAGACCTCTAACTAAAAAATAAAAGAGTTATTATCACTCTATCGTAACTTTTTTGGTATTTTTTGGTGACATTAAACAAATAAAAGGTCCATGTTTTTTTTTCAAAAGATTAGTTTTTATCGAGTGGAAGNTCATTGAGGCATGAAATACGCTATTTATATTTTTCCTCTCTCTTAGACAGCTGGAAATCTTATTTTTAAGGAATTGTCGTTATTGTATTCATGAATACAGCAGCGCAAATACATGTGAATATATGCGCGTACAGCTGGACTGCCCTGATTTTAGGCGTTTTTTATTGTTGTATTCATGAATACAACATCGTGAATACACTACCGTAACAACTGAATAGTAGCTATAGGAAGTAATTATGTATATGGTAGCTAAAGAAAGTTAATAGCCACTAAACAATGGTGATTTATGAAAAATTATCTTTAGTATATAGGAGTATATATTAGCTAATATATCATATTTTCCTAAAGATGAAATGTCTTTGTTTTGACATTTTTGTAAGAGAATATTGAATAATATTACATTAAATGAAAAAGTGGATGGACAAAAATTTTGAAGAGAAATAAAGAAGCCATAGCCCATAGAGGTGACAGGCTGACGGTATGTACCATGTAAAAGATGCAGAGCACACAGTTTCCAGTTTCAGAACTACAAGAGATGTAATATTCTTTATTAGATTTGAGTCAAGAAAGAAAACGAAAGTTGAATGGCAAAAGGGCCAAATATATCCATTACTTTCGGATATTGTCTATATTTAACCTCCGTTATACGATCAAGCCAAATTTACCCCTACTGTTATACTATCCGGCCAAATACTCCTACCATCAGCAAATTTTTAAAAGTTACCCCTCAGTCCATCAGGTGACCCAGAATCTCCCAAATCATTTTAATTAAGTCACTTATTCTTCTTCTTGATCCACTATTTTCAAAATAATTGACATTTAACTGCTTTCTTAATTGAAAAAAAAAAAATAAGAGAAAGAAATATTAAAATAATACAACGGTTAATAAACAAAGTATTGTAAATTGAAGAATCTAAATTAAGTAGCTTATCTAAATTTTAAAAGTATTTACAACATCCCAACTTTAATGAATTCATTACACCTAAGGTATGGAGATTTCGCAAGTATTAGTGATAGAAATTAGAATTCCTTGGAGACTTTACATTGTTGAATTCAACTTTGCTTTAATCAAATGCCTACGCATTATGCACTTTTAAGTTGGTCGATTGAACTCTATACTAACCAGATAATAACAAAATATAATCGAATATACATGTACATACATGATGATCGATTGCATATAATACACAATAAATAGACCCACTAAATTCTATGGTGTGTATATGGTTGAAAAATAAATAAAATTTTAAATCAAGTCCAAATTCATTATCACAAGCAGAGAAGTGGATGCGTTGGTAATTAAAAATATCCATGAATAATTTATATAGTCTAATACCTTTAGCATTCACATCAATAGTAATTTCTGAAAATAGTGGAGCAAGAAAAACAACAAGTGATTTAAATAAAAGGAAATTGGAAAATTTTAGATTACTTAACAGATCAAGGGGTAATTTTTAAAAGTTTGCTGATGGTATGAGTAAATTTAGCCAGATAGTATAACGGTAGGGGTAAATTTGACCGAATAATATAACAGAAGTTAAATATAGACAATATCCGAAAGTAGAGGGATATATTTGGCCCTTTTTCCGAGTTGAATTCAGCTTGGTGAAAAGAAAAAAGAAAATACGTTTATATTTCTTTGCTATTTAATGTCTGATTCACATTTTCACTGTGCTTGCCTCATTTTTGAAGCCAAAACTTGAAAACAAGAAAGGAAGAGAAAAGAGCCAAAGCTATATTGTCGAGCAATCAAGATGATATATTTGCTCACATGTCCATACGAAAGTCATAATTTGTAGAAATATTTGATGGTCTTAATAAGAGGAAATCGAATGAAAGATTCGCCAGGTGTCTAAGTCTTATTGTATTTAAGGAGTAATGAACAGTGAAGATATTACTATATGAATTGAAAATGTAAAGTAAACATGTAACAATGAACTTTTAGGTCGTAGTTATGTACAATTACTAAATCCTCCTCAAATAAATTACGATTTCAATTCGTTGAGAAAAACTTTTTCGCATTTCACCTATCACTTGAGTAATAGTATAAAACCTTAAGAAAAGGCGATCTACTAATTAAAAAAAGAAGAATTCATTAAAGAGATTGTTAGTGGTCGTGCTCTCACTGCCGGAAGTTTGGCAGCGATAAAACGCAGTGTTCAAGTCCCTCATCCTGCTCGTGCCTTCGTTGTTTAGTGGTAACAAGTTCCGTGCATAAGTCGCTTTAGAGATAGGGGCGAGGAGCAGGGGCGGATGTAGATCTATAACACCGGGTCCAATTGAACGCATAACTTTCGATACGGAGCATAAATTTATGTACAAAAAATCACTTAAATTGTAATAAATTACAGATATGAACACATAACTTTCGAATATAATGGATTCAATACTAAGAATCTTAAGGTTGACCTTATAGAATTTAAATCCTAAATCCGCCTCTGGCGAGGAACAAGTAGCCCCTTGTATAGGGTTGAAAAAACTATCTGACTAATAAGAGGAAAGGAGCAAGCCAAAACTAACTTCTAACAAGTTGCTGGCTTTTCATCGGCCATGGTGCACTAGCATGCTAATCTTTTCCCAACCTAGTAAAGGAGCTGTTAGTTGTAGCGCACAGTGTACTAGTGAATAAGAAAAGTGAATTAAGATCATACAATTGGATTGAGCCTTTGAGATTTTGAAATGCGTGAAAATCTTTAGACAAATCTATGGCGTAAAGCCCTACAACATCAACTAACAACTTAGAGTAATTTGGTTAGAAAACAAGTTATCTCATAATTAATTATTCCGGAATTAGTTATCCCATCCTCCTATATGGATAAACAATCCCGAAATAGTTATACCACAATTTTATTTCAATCAAACGCGGAATATATTCGTCTCAAATTTAATCCCAGAATTAATTATCTTTTATCCCTCCTACCAAACGAGTTTGATCCACGAATAATTAATCGTACCCAAGAACAATCCAAGAAGGAAAGAGACGTGCAAAATTTGGTATGAGGCAAATTTAGGTGCTGGATTTGTCCTTTGCTCTTTCCTCAAATTTAGCATATGTTGGGGTGTTAGGAAGCAGGTTTTGATAAGTGACCAACCTTTAAATACATAAAATTGCAAAAAAGATAACCTTCTTTCTCTTTAAGCCAGAAATGCTTCTCTAATTTTAGCCACATTGCCAGAAAGGTAAGAGTTCTCCATTCTTAGTTTTATGTCAAATTGACCTCCAGCTGCCCCTGTTAACTTGCAGTCCTGCTAAAGTTTCTCTTCAAACAGAGACATCTTACAGCTTGTTTGGATGGTTGTTACTCGTTATATTATATTGTATTGTATTGTTATCCCAAAACAATGTTTGTTTCAATTGTTTCATTAAAATTGGTTGTATTGTATTATCAAATTCATTGTTCCAGGCAATGAAAAATCTCATTTCGTGAAACAACCGATTTGGTGTGGGGAGATTGTTTCCTATTTTTCTTTTCAATTATGCCCTAACTTATTATTCCATAATTCTATTTTACTCTTTACTTCTTTTTTTTTTAATTATTTTAACTCCAAATCTCCTACCTATAACCTACTTTGTCTTCATCCTCTTTTTTTTTTTTTCAGAACTTCTGCCGCTTCCAACTCCGACGTAAAATTGCTAATTTTGTATGAATTTAATTGCTTAATCTAGTTATAAATCATATTTGTTTCTAAATTAGTAGAAAAGGGTTTTCGTAAATTATATTTATGCGTAATTCTTGATAAATTTAATATTTAAACAATTGAGGATACTTTAGTAAACTTATCTGTTACAGTACAGTACGATACAGTCAAACCAAACAGTAAAATATTATTTAACAATAGCAAACAATACAATTTATCCAAACATTGTATTTATAAAACGATACAATACAATACATTATAAAACGATGGGTAACAACCATCCAAACAAGTTGTTAAACTCTAAGCCATTTGGTTCAAGGGATTAGGTGGGTTATCCCGATATAAATTTTAGGATTAAAATTTATCCCATATTTAGTTATTATCTAAAACCGGATATTTATACCAAAATCTTGGTATAACTTTTCCTTGGGATAAGTTATTCAGGTTACAATCCTAAGTTTAATCTCAGGAATATAAGCTTAATAAGCTTAAGATATCAATCGTTTTGAACCAAAAGAAGCTTTCCTAAACCTGAAACCTTCTCATGTAAAGTTGTTTAATGGGTTAATTTTATGGAATTCATTACTCAAATGGTCATTAAACTATAAAAATCACTTAACTATGTGTATTGCACTCAGAAGATAATTCAACTAGATTTCTCAAACTTTTAATTGTCAAATACATATGTTACCCTCTTAGAATAATTTATTCGTGATAATAATTTTGATATTAACAACAAAAACTCCAAAATTTATTTACACAATTAAGAATGAAAGAAAATAAAAAATTATAAATTACATATCTCATGCACGTAATATAAAAATAATTATTTAAAATAGAGGTATATTTTATAAAATATATTATATATATTCTTAAAAATTATGCTCAATTATTTTATTATTCCGATGTTATATATGCTACGAAACTAATTTTTCATTTTATATTTTATAAATATTTTTTTTTTCTATAGATAAGTCTGTAATGTAGATTAAAACGAGAAAAAATTATAATATTAAAAAAAAAAAGAAAAAAAAAGAAGATAAAAGTTGATAATTTAGAGGGTAAAATAGGTATTTGATAATCAAAAGTTTAAGAAATTTAGTTGAGTGACCTTCTGAATGTTATAAACATAGTTAAGTGACTTTTCGGTTACAAACGAAAAAGAATAACTTTACTAAATAATTTTATATAGTTGAGTGACCATTTAAGTAATAAACTATTCACGGATAATCATATAATTAGAACTTAATGTTGTAATTAAAAAGTACATCAATGGAAGGAAAATGTAGTCAAGAGGTGCCCATTAATTTTTACTAGATCCT